AACCCTCATTTCCCAATGGGTGAGAGAACAACTTCATTAGCAGGCACTTGCTACAAATACAACACGTACTGCTTGCAAGGGAATAGCTGAGCTTGCCAAAGCTCAGAACAACACGTGTAACCCTCACATCCTTTGGGATTGCTACCAAGTTATCCAAAGGGTGACAGAGAATGGTTTGACCGTAGACAAAGCTGTTTAAACCAAGGACTGTGTCCACCATCATCTGCTGCTGTCCAGGTCTTCACTCATCACAGAAAGCAGAGGGGGGGTTTGTGCTCTGTACCAACCAACACGAACAGCTGACGGACAGAAACGTGGCTTTTCAGGATTTAGTATAGATTGAGAGAGTACGGAAAGGAGTGTGTAACAGATGCTGTGTCATGGTTCCCACTGTCATCTTGCCTAGCATTTGCTGCTGGAACCTGAACTGGATTACGTCCTGGGCCAGTTCCTGCTCATCTGCAAGACCCCAGGGTTGCGTCCCTCGTTGTGGAAAAAGCAGTGCAGAGTGTTCGCCCGCAGCGCTGCCCCATCACCTCCCTACGCTGGGGCCGGCACCATCACAGCCTGAATTCGTCCTCATTCACGCTCACGGTAAAGGTCTGCGACTCCAACAGTGCAGGATCAAAGCCCTAACGTGACATGTTTGGAGGAAATCCTGGCTTCACTGAGGGAACAGAAAAATAATCCCAGGCTCTACTGGCTCAACCGCCATGGCCAATGTTCAACTATGGAGTTATGTGTATGGAATTATGAACAGGTTTAACTACAAGAAGGAACTAAATGCATGCGGAACACAGCAGAGGGAAGTTAAAGTTTCAGATGTGACAGCCACTATAGGCCCCGGTAGTTTCTGCAGTTAATTTGTCTCTCTCTTTCACCCAGTTTCCTCGAGTGCCCTTTTCATCTCCAGCCCAAATATTCTATACTTCCCAGAGCCTGAAGAGGATTTCATGGTTAAAATGTCACTTCTGATTTATTATCTGCTTCTAGCATGTGCTCTATAATCCTAAACTCTGTGCACTCATTTCCTAGCTCACTTGCAGCGCTTTACATTACACACACAGCACCAAACTCACGATCAATTGCACTCTGCCATTTGTGAGCACCAGATGCAATTTCTTTTTCCATTTTTAAAGTATTGTAAGGCTACAGGAGTTGCAACAATAAGAACAATCAAGAAAAAATTCTCTTTCAAACAAGATTGTTAGTAGGAAGATAAATCCTATTTTAAATATAAAACGTTAGCATAGCATGACATAGCAGTTCACTTGTTGCCTAACAAGACACGCTACAGAACGAAAACAACTCAACCACCAGAGATGGTAAAAGACAGCTTAATCATCTTGCTTGTATGATTGCATTTCCAGAGCAGACATGAAAAAATGGCAACAACAAAGGAGAGGTTTAAAATAACAAGCTATCACAATAAAGGAGTGCCATGCTGGGCTGTGCCAGGCAAATGACTCAGTAGAAGCTCAGGGGACCGTACTGCCACACAGACTGCGATGGGTAACGAGAGGAGCAGCTGACAGCACTGCCATAGCTCAGTCAATCTGGTGAAACCCAGGGAGCAGCTTTTAATTCTGAGTATCAGTGCCTCATAGAGGTCCTACTGCAACTGCATTTCCACAAGACTGCAAGAAGCTGATTACCAACTGATTTTTTTTTTTCTTCGGAGGCAAATGAACAAATACAAAGAAATCACTGAGGTCAAAAAGCAAGAATTCAAATGTTAGAGGAAGCTAGTGATAAGCACCACTGCCAACTCCGTCATTTCCAAGACAGACACTTTCCCTATTTGTTCTCCAATAATTTCTCTGAAGAGATTTAGACTCCTGGAGGAACAGCTAGAGGTTCCCCAGGATGAGAGTGGAGTTGGATCCAATACACCGAGCAAGAAATACACTCTGGGTAACTTCATACGTTGCTCTGACTGCGATGTGGTTGCCTGATGTAACCTGTCAGCTCGCTGGGAGTGCGAGAAGGGCATGTGCTATGGCACAAAACCGCTGCTCTGGGCCAGAGTCCCTAACCCCAGCTGGCAGGGTGCGAGCAAACACGACATGTTTACATGTCACACACATGTAAACGTGCTGCTAAATCTCCAATGCAGAGAGAAACACACAGAAAACTGACATAGGTGATTTTTTAAAAGATATCCACCAACAATCAAAGACTACTAGATTATCTTGTTAATTACCATTTTCTTTTAAAAATGTAACTGCTTTTACTGTACCTTGATTAATGCTGGTATTTACTTGACAGCTAGTTACCAGCAACATTTAATCAGCTTATCCAAAAAATATTTTTGGCTACAATAGCTAAATTGATGCACTGCAACATCAAGCCGAGCTGTGCAAAAGGCTTTAATCAAACTGATGAGTTCTCAGATTAGTCCTGGCTCAAGTTCAAATTGCAGCTCTGAGCAACCAGTATTGTACTTGAATTTTGCTCGTGTTTATAAACACTCTACAAGTATAGGGCTGTCTGGATATCTGCAAACTTCATCAGGCTTCTGCTCGCGATGCATTTCGAGTTTGAGCCTGAATATTTGGGATAGTGCATATTTCACAGGCCAAGATGCAGGGCACTTTCCATCCCAGACTAAATCAATCTCACAGCATCAGACCTTTACAACCAAAACCATTTGTCGTTAAGTTTCTCAGAGGAGAAGACATGGGTGATAAGCTGGGAACGTGCTCCCAGAGCTTCACTAGTGATTTCTAGTAAGAGAGTAACTTTGACAGCTTCTTCAAATGAATGAGCAAACTTAAAGCCACTTGAAACTATGTGGGAAGCCAAGGGACCGTCCTCTTGTTTAAGAGCTCCCCTAAGCTCACGCGGAGCAATCAGGCTGCTATCCTATTCCCTTAATTGCTGCCAGGCTGCAAGTCTAAGCCAGCCAAGACTGCACTTTCCTGGCCTCCATAATTCAACCCATGTCCAGTAGGGGAGATTCTGGGATTTGAAATGTTGGTTTTATCTTAGCTGGGGACTGAGACATTTTAAATCTTGAACTGTCACAAGGTAAAAAAGAAAAAAATACCCACCAAATCTCTGCCAAACTCTGATAGTAAAAATGATGCTGCTGGGAAATGAAAAGTCCTAGGACTATGCCCATGAGGAAAATGTGAGAGATCTGAAATGCAAATGTGCAATGAAGTATCGCAGCATGGCAGTAAGGACAAGAAGTCTCTCAGGCCTCCATCTTGCAAATACTTAAGGATGTTTTAAAGTAATAAATATCACTAGCTTACTGAAGCCAAGAAGGTGTATAAGACGTGCAGAATGGGTTCCTAAGCTCTTTGGGGGCCAGGGGTGTTGATTTCAGAGTTACATACTATTTCTGTTGTAAACGCTCTGCCCGGCACAGATTCAGATCAGCAGCCTTGGGCACCAATAGCAGTGCTGTTCTTTAAAATAATTCATGCTTTAGAACCGGGGCAAGAGATATGAGTCGGGTTGCGTAAGTTGCATTTAAACTGAGCGGATTTCAGAGAATTTTCTCACTAGTTAAGCAGAACTATCTCCACACCTCTTCATTTACTATAAGGGACACACAGCTGGCTTCCTCCATGCGTTAGTGATCACATTGCATCAAGGAGGCTTCTGCAAAGCCAAAGAGCAAAGCCTGCACTTAGGTTCTTATTTATTGGCAAAAAAATCAGTATAATCATAAGCTGAAAATTTGGGACTTGCTGCCATCACTGAAAAGTAGATTTTGGTTTAACCATTGAAGGCAAGTCCTGATAAAAATGCTTAAGACACTTAGCTGCAATGCTTTCAGACATGCTCTGGCTTACCTGCATCTCAAACCAAATCATGCAGGATGGTAGGTCCTAATTTATCAAGAGGGACAAACGCCCTCAAGCTTCACTTCAGGTAAAGTCTCAGTTGCACTCTGCTGTTTTGGTGCCCCAGCCAAAGTTTCTGCTGCAAAGCATCAGTGCCTGCAGCTGTGCTACCATGCAGGAGCATGCAGGATGCTGATCCTTCAGCCGAGCTGTCTCATTGCCTATGTGCGTAAGGAGATTCATGGCCTCAGGTATCTCTGTGCCCACATCCCCCCAAAAAATTAATTTGGTAGATCTGCTCTGAACACACCCAGCAGGCAGGAAAGCCACTGTCCCCAGTGCAAACCACAGGAGCAATAAACATTTCCCATTGAGGATGATGGTGGTAGTACAGTGTTTAGCTGCTATACAACAGATTACTGGTTTGCAAGTCTGCCAGCAAAGAGAGACCCAGATTCATGAGACCTCTTAGCCTGAGGGTTCAAACCCACACCTCCTAATTTAAAGGAAAATGTTTAGAGACTTAAATTATTGGCAAGGCTGGGGTGAGACTACTCTCCCTCCCTTCTGCTGAAGCCACGTTGTTATGAGACCCTCATGGGACCAGAGAGGAAAAAGCGTGACCGGGAAGGAACTTGACTTTGCAGCCAGGTGATAGAGGAAGGAGGGATGGGGAGTCCTGGACTCTGGTCCCTGCGGCTGGAGTTACTTACCGACCTTATCCAGAAAGTCCACACTGCAAAATGTGTACACAGGTCATCTTCGCAACAGGGATCAGACCTCTCTCCCTCCTCCTTCGTGCCAAAACTTTTACTTCCCCTCTGGCAATTTTAAAAGCCACGTTTCCTCATGGCAATATCTGAAGTAAACGTCTCCTACTGCTCTGCTGATATCTCCTTCCTCCCTCCTATCACCAAATTATCACCTTTTTTAGTCAACAAAGCTGTAAGTAATAACCTGCATAATCCATTTTAAACTGTATAATCCATTTATTTCCTGAAGATAGCTAAAGCTAAATTAACATCACTGTTCTTTTGCCCGATATAAACATTCTTTATGGTTTGCACATACAGGAGACCCTGAGATGTACAGATTTCCTCTTTCATTGATCTATATCTATTTTAAAATTCCAGCATGCTTGAGCAGAGATTAAAAACAAAAAAACCGAATTTGTTGTTTAGAAAATTTTCTTATGTGCTTTACCTTGAGGGCTTTCTGTGCAGCTTCACTTGATCCAATAGCAATCAAGTTTGGTCCAGCCATGCTGCAAAAGCTCTTCAGATGCAAAGAATCATGAACAGGGACTGTGGAGACAGCATAATCCTGTATAGGAGCAAAGAATGGTTGCTATAAATATTTTTAAATTGTCCTAGTTCCATAATTATATTGAGACATTCCATAATTAATTTTACTCTCTGCAAATTAACAATAGCAATGTATCCCAGGGCACAGTGTCAACTGTTTAAGTATGACATACCCCTCTGGACCAGCTTGTCTTGTCTGGTACACTGGAGTAGAATCCAGAACATGTTTCAAATATTACTACTGTTGCAACTGTAAAGAAATACCTTAAAATGCGTAATTAAACAGTACGTACATAAAACCTCTCTAGGGACCAGCAATAAGAACACGTTGCTGATACATGAGAACATTAAGAACGTGAGTGTTGATATGCTCTCAAATAATAACAGCCTCCCACTATCCAAGTTACTTTTATGCAGCGATCTCACATTTCACATCCAACTTCAGCATCTGTCACTTTACAGGATGCTCAAACCTTTTCAGTAACTTGTACCTTTTTATTTTTTTAGTAAGTCCTAAATAAAGCACTTGAGTATGACGAACATCTTGGCCAGTATAATTTTTAAATTGGTTCAGTGGATGATAGCTTATATTTCCTGTGGCATGAATGAATCTACAAACCTTAAATGTGTCAGCCAGAATTTCTGCACCACGTTGATTTGTCCGCCTGGAAAGACCCACAAAAAATTCTCTGCCTGGAATGAAAAAATGAAAGGCAAAACAATTACAGCTTTTTTTGTTTTTTTAAGCCATCCAAAAAAATCACCACATCAGCTCCTTCATCAGAACATACACATTTTAAAAACAGGCCAGCTTTAGAGCCATTCTGAAGCAATCTTTCATGGGTATCATTTTCTATATTTCTTTTCTCAAGTTGAATAGTAAAACTGAAAATTCAGCTTAGAAGAATGCAACCTGCAATTGTGAGCAATTGTGAGCTGATAATTTGAAGCAATTATCTTTTTCCAGAAGACACATTTCACCAGAAGCATAAATAGCTTCCTCTTCTAAAGCTCTGCAATGGTCACCAAGTCAGGGAAGAGAACAGCTGGGCTGGATTAGTACAGCACTGACTGACCATTTCCCCCTCCCTCTGAGATTTCCTCGGGCCTCGAAGGCAGCTCTGCAGCCACCGGCATCCTCCAGCTCCAGAGGAAATCAGTGCTGGATCTGCACTGCATTAGAAAGGCCTCCCTTCCCGGTCTGCCTCTTTTGAGACCCTTCTTCCCCCTCGGTGAACTAAGGCAAGCAGCCAGCCTACTGTGATGCTGATCAAAATAAACAGGCTCATTCAGCACAGGCGGGGAGCAAGCGTGTGCACAGCCGATGTGAGAAAATGCTTAATGGGTTTAATGACATAAAAAACACAGTCAGTATCTTCATCTTTGAAGTCAACCATGCATATAAGTTGTCTAGCACATGACATCTGGCAGGCAACTCCACCACTTTCTCCATAAACTAAAAATGCTTTTTTTTGCATTTGATTCATTGAACTAGTGACAATTGTCTGCATCAAGCTTTTACAAGTCCTGAAAATGAGTCTGGTGAACGTAGCTGCTTGTAATAAGAAATATGAAACAACTGCAGGCAGTTGACTACTGAAAGCATTTTTCTTATTGGCACTTTACAGGCTAAAATAAAATTTGTATGCACAGTGCTGCTCTTTGTACTGTGTGTACTGCTTCTTCATTTATTCAGGCATTAAAAGCAGGACATCGAGGGTTGCATTGAAAATTCATCTCTCTGCTACATTCATGACATTTAGTAAACAACTGATTTAACAAACCGCACAAATGACATTTTATTATGCAGACGACAGATAACATGCCGTCTTTGAGGCAGTCAGAATATGTAAACAGCAAATTTACTACTACTATACCTGTAAATAAGACATCTCCACCATCCAAGGTTGCATTTTCATCTACCATCTCTACTATATTGAGGTTGAGACTTTCTAGTACTCTCTTCATGGCTTCAACCTGTTTAAAAGAAAGCTGTTTAGAATATATTGCATCATTGAAAAACTTAAAAAACCTACCAGAAATACATTTCATTAATAACAATTAAAGTCCTTTAACAAGACGGATGGCGGGGTCCTTTGTGTCTGTGCCCACCGCAGTTCCCCAACTCTCTCCAGAGGCCTTTGTGGTCTGGAGGGGATGGAGTGTCTAGCGGCAGTGATTGAGCTCTTGCCTTTGCACAGGAACCATGCAGCACCCAGAGGAGACAGATGACGGGTCCAAAATGCGTGTTAAGTCTGGTCCCTCTACACAGTAATATCCTCTCTTGCAAATCCTGTCCCTTCGATTTGAGCAGGAAGAAGGACCAGCAGGAGTGACGTTCTCTCCTTCCACGCTGCTCAAACACAAGACATGGCTCTACCAGCCATGCAGGTGGCAGCTCTACCCCAGGCCCCTCTTCAGTCAGGGGAGTAAAAACAAAAATCCCCAAATCAGAAAACGTTCATTTTCGTTACAGTTTTGCAACTTTACTGAGCACTAGTTCTTCTTCCATTTTTGAGCTACCTTGCTACAGAATTACAAGACCTGTCATGTCTGTCTGTTGTGCCGCTGGCTGCTCACCCCAGAGAGCCGCACACGTGGCAGGGAGCTCGGGGCAGGGAGCCTGGGGCTGCCGAGCCCATTTCCTGCTGAAAGGAGCTCATAACAGGAGCGGGGAATGCAGCTTCAGCAGGTTTCCTCTTTCCCAGTGATGGGATGATGCCTAGAGCAGAACCTGTTTCTACAGAGGCTCACGTTATCGGCCATCCATAAGAGGGGCTAACGCTCGCTATGTTCAAGCACCATCGTCTTGGTGCCTTGTAAGCCACAAGAAGCACCTACGCGCAACCAACCGCTCACCAAAAGCTTACGACTACAGCTTGCAGAATGTCAATATAAACATGAGCTCATCCAAACCTGTGAACCTGATCCTGCACAGCAGCGTCTTCATGTTCAGTGAAACCTCCTCACCGTGGTTAACCAGAGGTGCCCAGCAAGCATTAACTAACGTGGAAGACTCGGTGAAGACCTGTTAGACAGCTCTGATTTTTGCATGTCCCACAGGTCACTTATCTATTTAACATGATAAATCAATCGTTAAGTTTCTAGAAGAAACACAGGAAGCTAAAGCAGGTGACACGGTACTTGTCTTCCAGCACCATATACCAACAGAAGCAACTCTAGCAGCCCTGCTCTTGGGCTCTGCCAAACTATACCTGTCACGGCAGAGAAAGGAGATGTGATGGTGATTAGTCCTTCACACTCGCTGCAGCAGCCTCAGAGCAATAGCAGCACATGCCTTGGTTGCCATACCTTCTTAAGAGCGGTGCTGGCTTCAGGGAATAAGGGAGGGGGCAGATGTGATCCACCTAAGCCCACTTTTTCTGCTCAATTTCCATGGCTATGTGGTATTTGAGAGTCATCCCATTAACCCTGAAGCCCAGGCCTAAAAGGCAAGAGCAGGTCTCCATGGGCTGCCAGGACAGCTGACTTGGGTCTATAACGGATACACTGGGGGCATCATCTTATCCAAGACTGATCTGCTCTCTGAGGGTGCCTCTTTCTCTCTAGCACGTCCTCGCTCTTCAGTCACTCTACAGAAAAAAACTTGGGACAAGCACGCTGCTAAAGTAGGTGCCTCAGTTTAAAGTTGAACGGGATGAAGACAGGTCTTTGTGCCATCTAGAGAATGCTAATAGGTTACACTGCAACACAGTATGCTGTACCCGGGAGCTTCCCGAGACCAAGGGACTCATCCTCCCCACGTGAAATCCCATCTAAGGCTTTGGCATGCAGACTGGAGCAAGCCTGCAGCATGGCCTTTACAATTATTAACACTTCTTTTTGCTCCTCTGTCTTTCACTTGATGCTAAAATGACTTCAGGCTAAAACTTGGCACTCGAGCCTCCAGGCTTAGTAGTAAGGCTTCATCTTTCTCAGTCTTGTTGCTCTATCTTCAGTGATCTTTAAAATTAGTTTTATAAGGAGGACTGGACCCATGTGGTATTTTAAAAATAAATGGGCAACAGCTGAGTTAATACTGGAAAACTGACTGTTGCACAAACACAGCAACATTTTGTAACATCCGTATGCTGACAGCAGAATAATTTCTTTGGCCTGCGAAGCTCAGTAGTTTTTACTGTGCAGGTGCTACGTGCTTAAGAGCCATCAGACCCCAAAGAAGAAAACAACTGTGTAATATGGGGTAATACAGTTGCAGCATTATATAAGGAGGTTCCCAATCCAAGAGCACATAGACTCACTGTTTTGTGCCAGTGTGAAGCAGACAAGCAAACTCATGACTGGACGTAAGGACACCCTGACACATGAGTACACCAGCCACAGGCAGTTGGAATAAACAAACACACCCATCCGATGGGGTTACTTAAGGCAGAAGGCCAACCCACAGGAAAAAACAGGATTACCCAGCCTGTTGTGTGGTCACCTATCTCCAATTAATCCACCCCCTCCAGCAGCTTCCAAAACCAAAACACCAAGAAGAGAAAGCCTTCTCAGGAGACATGCTGCTGACTGGGAGCTCCCAGGGGGAGCTGTCTAGGCTTGCAGAAGCCGCCAAGCCAGCGGCTGCCCCCGCCAAGCACCTGCTCTGCTTCTGTCCTCCTCCCCGATACTGTGTCCCCACCAGTCTGGAGCATCAGCAGAGCTGTGGATGTTACGGTGGCAGAGGACGACCCTACCCGCTTTCTGCGGGGAAAGCCAAAAGCAAAAGCCTCTCTGGACTACAGAAGACCATCTGAGAGGGGTAACATGTAAAACCTGGGCAGCCTACAGAGAAGACATGAAGGTGCCTCTGTGTTGCCAGGCTGCTTGCAGACCTAACCAGGCCAGGAACCGTGCAACAAATATTGCAAGCAAGCTAGGCACGCTGGCTAGACAATTTGTGCCTGTTAATAGTTTAATAAACTTAATGGTCAGGAGGCATATTACTGAAGGGAAAAGAAAAGCAGCGTGCATCTTGGCTGTGTGAGGAAGGTTGAGGGGGTATGAAAGCCTGAAGGTGAATCTGCCTGCGAGAAGACATGCCTGTGACCAGAGCAAACAAACAGCAGTCACGGAGCTGTGCGTGGGCTCCCTCCGGTAGGTGGGAAACCTACTTTTTACCTGAGCATTACAACCACGCAAAATGCTTGCACCGCCCTGAGAAGTGACTCCAGTGCGGCTGGCAAAGGGCCACAGAGCTTCCTGGGGAGAGGCAGGCAGGGAGGCAGCAGCACTTCACATCCCTGGGCCAGAATGGCCAATTAATAACACTTGCGCTAGAGTACCAATTAAGTAAAGTGCCTAGCTAATGAGAATAGCGGAAGGTAAATGCTGACTTTGGATTTGTCATTCGAGTCATATGTATGCTTTAATCACCAGCTGCTGATTACCATTTAACCACCAGGCTACGTCAGAGATGCCTCGAATTGTTTCTTTATTTAATTTATAGGGGTTGATGCAGCTGTAGTGCAGACATTAAGGAAAGTTATCAGAACTAAAAGTTATCCAAAATCACAGAAAACTAGTTTAATTTGCTTCATGATTGTTCCAGGCTTTGAAGTTACTTATAAGATGCTCAAGATGTTTCTCCCCAACAGTGGAGCTCATTTTAGCTTATGAAACCAAATTTAAATAAATAAAATGACTGCCATATAAATAGCTGGATCTTTTTTCCATGGTGGGTGTTAATGGATTCAAGTCTACAGTTCAATGTTTTGCAGGGTTTTTAAGCAACCAGTAGAAATTCCTAGAGTTTTAATTGGAAAGTGCTGTTCACACGTCTGGTGACATATGCTAGGAATATCTTCCAATATTCATTGCTTGTGTAAAATAGAAGTCTCAAGTTACCGTTTGTTTTCTATGGGCAACACCAGGAACTTCATTCAGTAGAAGCAGAAATGAAAAAAGGAGCACAAACTGAGATGGAGAAGATCAGAGGGAAGACTTGACATTATTAAAAAGGCAACTGGAAAAAAAGAGCTTGTAAATACAGGATTCGGGAAAAACAAAACCAAAAATGAATAGCTCATCTGCTTTTGCATATAGCTGAGTTTTCTGCACAGGGGATAGCACAGACTCGCATTACCCCCATCACATCATCTTTAAAGCCATCCTGCAGCAGTTCTGAGTAGGGTCTCCAACATAGCATGTCCACAGTACGTGTTTGACACACGACCATCTTGGAAACAGCATACCGCATCATTCAGAGTTTGGGTTAGTATGTGGTGAAGTCCACACAAGTAGCTTGAGTCTGTATCTCATCATTGCAAAAGGGAATCGAGAGCTTGGCTCCATCCTCAAGCCTTCCCACATCAGGAAGGATTGTGCCACTTCCCAACAGAGCTCCTACCCCAGAGAGAAAACTAGATACAACCTCTAGCTAAGGAGGGACAAGTGACTGTTATCGTCACGAAAGAAATTAAAAATAGGGATGCAGCAAAGGGGTTTGATTTTACAAAGGCCTCTATCCTCCTCACATTTTATCCTCCCCAAACAACCGATACCCATTTTTCTGAAGTGTGGAGTCTTAACACGTACTGGTGAGATTTTATAATTAATGAAAGACTAATTCGCAGAGCTAGCTTTGATGTATGAACAAACAACCACCTCTTGCTTTTTTTTCCAGGAGAGAACTGAAAAAAAGGTGGATGGAGAAAGTCCTCTGTGAAGCCACAGTTACCCAGGAGACACCAGTAAAACACACAAAGTATTTGGAAATGACCCGCTTGCAAGCATATTCACTATGAAGACGACTTACTGCTTGCTTTCTTCGTAAGTAGCCAAGAGGAAAAGTCACCTTCCCTCACTTATCTCCTTTATTTGAAAACTAAAACCCCAGGTAGTCAGAATTGTAGCACACTAAGAAAACATTCATCTGTATCCTTGAAGATTTCTGTATCATATTATCTCAGGTCAGCTTAAGGTTTGTAACACGATATTGGGTTTTACTGTAAATGTACCCATCAGTACATCGGTTG